GCCACACCCTCAGAAGGGGTCCCCCAGCTCTTGCTGGAACACCTCCAATGCCAGGATACTCATTCCGTCTTCAGGTAACTTGAATGGTCAGTGAGGGGGACAAGTCATGGTGTGATGTCAGTTTCAGAGCCAGGCTATCCAAGGGTGAATCTCAGGCAGGTGACCTTGGGTAAATTCCTCGCCGTCTCTGGGCTACATTGTGGGCAACAGCAAGGACTGAACGTGATAGTCCCTGGAAAGCACCCAGGAGGCCTACGTGAGCTGTCATTAGCCAAGTGGGGAGGAACACCTCAGTTAGAATGTAATGCATCACTGCTCACCATTGGCGGGGTCTCTCTGGGGTTGTCCCCAAGACACGCTGGCAGGGGCTGGGTGTGGAAGTTCTGCAGGAAATGTGTGAAAAAAGTTCCCTCCCCAGAACTTTGTGAAAAAGCAGAGGATCAACAGGATTTATTGCTAGGGGGTGGCAGTTCTCTGGCCAAAACACACTGCCTGACCTGGGTCTCCACTGGCAGTGATCCGATTCGCCGTGGTCCTGGCTTCCTGCCTGCAGGAGGACACCACGCCCTGTGAGTGACATGTGAGTTTATGGAAAAGCAGGTTGTTCTCAGCACAGCCTGTCGACGTGGTCAGTGGAGGAAGTGAGATGGAGGAAGGACACGCCACAAACACATGGATGCCTTTGACCCAGAGAGCTCTCTGTTTGCTAAGCAAACACACGGCTTCTGTGGTTTCGAGCAGGCCTTTTCCCTTGTGGCTGCAGGTTGCCTCTGTGCTTTCAACAGCTCGTTTCTAGAGACCAATGCTTGGTCTAGGACATTACTTAATTTAAGTTTTAAAATTTGTTTCTCGATGATGGAACAAGCATTTATTGATAGCTTACTAGGTGCCAGACACTGTGTGTGCTTTTCTTTAATCTTTGCAACAACCTGTATGGTAGGTGATTTCCCTGTTTATAAGAGGGCTCTAGGAGGCTCAGAGAAGCTGGTGTGTTGCTCTGAGCCGCACAGGTTGTCTGATTCTCAAGTCTGTGTTTGCTCCAGACCACGAGCTCCTGCCCTGGATTGAGTGAGCAAGATGGATGCTGTGCTTTCACACACATGCACACAAATTCATCTCTTGACTCCACAGCACATCACGTGCTCCAGATTCAGAAAGTGCGGAGGGAGTGTGGCTGGAGAGTCTCCTGCTAGCTTCCTCACGGTAGTGGAAGCCTAGTGCATGTGTTTCGTGTGTACACCGGTGTGTGGGGGAGTGTAGCCGGTTCTACACATGGGTGCTGCCCTCTGCCATTTCCCTTAACAGGGGCTCAGATCATCTCATTATGAAAAGGATGCCTTCTTCTTACTGGCCGTCCAGTGCCCATTGTGTGGGTGTTTCCTCATGTCTTCAGGGGACATTATGTGTTTCCAGTGTTGCACTGTTAGGAAGGACGCCGACAGTGAGTGGTCTTGACGGTGCTGAGCCACCTGAGCATGCCTTCTAAGCAGACCTGCTCAGTTAGGAGGCAAGCGGGGGTCTAGTTTTGAGAGAGGTTTCCAGGTGCCTGCCTTGGGGTTGTGGCCATTGCCCACCAGCACTGAGTGGGGCCTTGGCCTGCCCCCTGCTGTCTGACAGCAGGGGTGCTCCGGAGAGCTCTGAGCCTGAGACGGGGAAAGGCAGGAACCTTCCGGGCTGGAGAGATGGACTATGCACCTTGTGGTCCTCGCTCACTGTCAATATTTAAGAACCCTGGGAGTCCAGCCTGGGGGAGCCTGGTGTAGCCGATGCTGTGGCTGGCCTCCCCCAGAGGGCAGAGGTCTCCTTCTGAGGGATTGAAGAGAGGAATCATGGGCTCCTCCACGGTCATTCCGTCCTGACTCCGAGCCTAAAGAGAGTCGAGCAGGATGCCCTCGGGCCAGCCTGACCAGGAGGCTCTGGTGGTCCCTCTGCTGTTATCATCATCCAGTGACCCTGCTCTCTGCATCCTTGCGGGCTTCACGCTCTGGGAGTGAGTTAGGTTGGGTAGGTGTCGTCTCTGTCTGCAGGTGAAGAAATGAGGTCAGAGAGGCAAGACCCCAAGTCATAACCATAGGTGGGTAGGAATCTGGCCTCAACGATGCTCCTCATTCCCACCCTACCCCTAGACAGCCAGGGACTGAGGCTGCCAGGTAACCCTCCTCCCACCACCCACCTGCTGGGCAGGTGGGAGCACTTCCTCTTGAAGCTGCTGGGGGACTCCAGGCTGCCAAGTCCCCACAGACTTCTCTCCTCCAAATAAAATCTTTCATCTTTTACTACCGTGACACAGGGTCATTTCAAAGAAAACTCCCTAACTTCTTGATTTTTCCTCATTTGTTATTTTTTTTTTTTAAAGATTTTATTTATTTATTTTTTTCCCTCCAAAGCCCCAGTAGATTGTTGTACGTCATAGCTGCACATCCTTCTAGTTGCTGTATGTGGGACGCGGCCTCAGCATGGCCGGAGAAGCGGTGCGTCGGTGCACGCCCGGGATCCGAACCCGGGCCGCCAGCAGCGGAGCGCGCGCACTTAACCGCTAAGCCACGGGGCCGGCCCATCATTTGTTATTTTATACAAAAAAAACGGGAGGGGCTGGCCTGGTGGCATAGTGGTTAAGTTTGCACTTTCCGCTTCAGTGGCCTGGGGTTCCCTGGTTTGGATCCTGGACAAGGACCTACACACTGCTCATCAAGCCATGCTGAGGCGGCCTCCCACATAGAGCAACTAGAAGGATGTACAACTATGATATACAACTATCTCCTGGGGCTTCGGGGAGAAAAAAGGAAAAAAAGCAGGAAGATTGGTAACAGATGGTAGCTCAGGGCCAATCTTCCTCACAAAAAAAAAAAACAAAAAAACAAAAAAAGGATGGGGAGTGGCTTTCCTTTTCTAGTACATCTTGGCGGGGATGTACTTCCCTGCAGGGAGAGAGAAGTGGGGGTGACGCTGTGGTTCTGGCTGCCACCTCAACCGGGCATCGGCAGACCTAGTGAGGACCTATCAGGCCCAGCTGTCTCTGTTTGCTTCTGTCTGGGTCTCTCTGCTCTCTCCTCGAGAGAATTTGTTGAATAAGAAAAGGTCGTTTGCTCAATGCTATGTGACTACGTAGGTAACAAAGTCATGGTGGCTCCAGGTGTTACACCTGGGTGTTCCAGGTGGTGGGTGAGGTGGTGACTGTAGGGTCTGGCAGTGCTTGGTGGGGCCCAGCTCCAACATTTATTTGCTATGTGGTCTTGGGTGAATGTTTCAACCTGCCTGAGCCTCAGTTTCCGCATCTGTAAGAGAGTCATGGAACCACCTCCATGAGGTGGCCGTGTGGATTGAAGCTGTAATAAGTCATTGGTTGGTTTTGTAGCAAAGAGCTCTGTGCAGAGAGCCGGGCACAGCCTCAGTCCTCTCTGAACCTCACTGAGGGGCAGCTCACTTACCAAAACCCAAAGACTCCCCAGGTCCTTGCAACTTAAAGTACAATTAGCTTCATGAACACTTACTTTTGTTAACATATGGACTACTTAAGCCAGGGATGAAAGCATCAAAATTATTCCAACCAGAAATCTTTCCATTGGCTGGAGCACTGCAAACAGGCCTGTGCTCAGTTTGTAAAGAGCACTGAAGGGCTGGCTGACCCCCCGCCCCCTTCTTGACCATCAGGACAACGCAGGGCTCTGGTCCCTTACAGGAAGCTCCTTTGTTTGGGTCTGATTTCCTCCCCCTTCCATTGCCTTGATCCAATCACGGTATAAACTTTTATTGAACGCCCAACACAGGCCACAGTATACTGCTTGCTGCTCACTTTTTTTTTTATTAGTTCCACTGATGCTGAGAGTGGATTGTTTTCATTATTTTAATGGCTCAGCCCTAAACAGGTTCCCTTTATCTTTGGCAATCTTCCTGGCTCTTGATGGCATTTTGAAAATATTTGCGCAGTTAGCAGGTTCACTTAGCAGAGAATTTCGTGGTTTATGTTTTTTCATACCCCACATCATTCCAGAAAGAATTTAAGGCAGCTGGAGTTCATATCCCGAGACACTTCTACCTGCATTCTTAATTCAAGGAAGCTTGGAGAAGGGGTGGGTTTTGCCTGTTATCCAGCCTGGCATCTTGGGAGGTCCCAGAGGGCAGCTGTGGAGTGGCCGGAGCACAGATTTTGGGGTTCCCCGCCCTGGCCTCACCCAGCACCACCACTTACTAGCTCTGACATGGTGGGGCAAACGAGGTCACCCCTCTGGGCCTCTGTTTCCTCCTCTGTGAAATAGGTACCAGAACCATTTCCCCCCAGGTTGTATATGGGTTACATGAGTGAGTACTTGTGAACATGCTAACTCAGTGCCACGTTTAATGATAAACATGATAAAATACATAGAGCCCAATTTAGGACCTGGGCTTCAACGGGGGACTCTGATTCTCTCTGGGGGGAAATCCCCAAATCCAGAGGTGGTGGCCAGATGCTCACTTATCCAGCTCAGCTGTTGGGGATTCCAGAGCAGAGTCTGTAGTCTCCCGTGAGCCTGGGTTTCCCATCTGACTGCTGTGATTCGGAGGCATGGCCTCACCATGAGCTTCAGACCATGAGGTCTTTCCTGTAGACCTGACCGAGCCCCTTCTTCCACCTCACGCCTCCTCTTCACTCTTGCCTCCAACCGTGCTTCCCCAGGGGGCGGGACTGGCTGATGGCCCTCTTGGCTGCTACCCTCTGAGTGGTCACCTGGGGGTGACTGCTACGTGGGACGAACCGGGGGCCTGTCTTCGCCAGCTGACCATCAGCCCTCTGTGGGCAGGGGCTCTCCTGGCCCCTGCACCTGGGCATCCAGTCCAGAGCTGGGTCTTGTAGGCGTCGGTCCAAATGACTGGTGGCTCAGCCTGTTGTAAGCTTTCTGGTTTTCTGATGGAGACCAGGGGATGCGCTGTATGTTCCTGGGGGGAAGGTGGGTGGGCACCCTGTTGCGCAGGTCCTGGGATCCCAAGGCAATGTCTTGACCTCCTGCTCTCTCCTCTTGCAGAGCCCACAACGATGGTGGTTTCACCCGCCAGCTCAGAAGCCCAGGTACTTTTAAGAAAAATTTTATCTGATACATAGTAAAGCTTAGAAAGCATATATACAGTTGTTTCTGTGAGGCGGGATACAGATAAAATGCTCAAAGGACTTAATCTAAGGGGCTTGATGAAGAGATTATTCCCAGTGGGCAGGCAGGTGGGGAGAGAGGGCCCACCAGGCTGGTATGGACCCCTGTGAGCCTCAGTGGGCCTGGAGGGGAGGGGAAGAGAAGATACCCAACCTCCCTCTCTCCTTCCACCCGCAAGCTCCTGGTGGTGCCTCCCACTGACCAGAGGAAGGGAGCAAAGGTGATGTTGTCTGCAAAGAGTGGTCTCCTTTGGAGGGGTAGAGTGTCGGGCAGGGTGTGGGTCTGGGAGGCAAACAGGAAAACCAGCCCAATAACCAATGCCCAGGACCCTCACCCCACCCAGAGCTCAGGCCTCCCCAATAGGTCTTCTTGCTGTGTCTCTCTGCCCCAGCTGCCTGCCCCCAGGTAATTTGTCCTGAATTTGATGTTTATCATTCCACTGCCTTTGAAAATGGTTTTATGCAAGGACATATTTATATATTAAACCCAGTGTTATACCAACGAGGGTGGGCATAGGCCCAAAGAGGCTGTATGGTCTGTTGTGGAGAATTTAAACACAATCATAAAACCATTCCCAAGTTTTCCTGCTTTTTCTTGTCACTACATGCTGGCGATTGTTGATCACATCAGTGATGGGATGCCCCTCCTGTCTGGGGCGGATGCTCTGCTGTTTAAGCAGCACACTGCTTGGGATGGCTGCGAGCTCTGTGGACGCAGGATGGTGCGATATATAGCTTTCTGGAATTTGAGTGGGGAAAAAACAATAATGTGTTTTCAGGACTCATCTTCATTGCTTTCACTGCACCACATTCTGGATAATTTATTTATCCGAAGCCCAGGGACGTTCCCCTGGCTCTTAGGCAGCGCTACCGGGTGCCCCCAGGAGACGTGCATTCACCACCTACTCCTCCAAAGGAGCCCTGTCATTATCAATTTTGAAAATATTTACAAGGAACTTTGTATTGGGGGTCCAGTCTGGACCTTCTGCCCAGAGGCCCATAAATTAACCCGATAGCCCTGCCCTGGGAAGTGGGGCTTGGCACCTAGGTGACGCTGGCCTGCAGCTTCAGTTCCTGCTCTCTGGAGCCCCTTCAGTTCCTTGGGCTGGTCCCCCAGGCTGGCCCGCCATGCCTGCGGGCTGTTGGGTTCCCTAGTCTGAGGATAGGCAGGGCTGGAGGTTCTGAGACTGGCTGGCTGCCCAGATTTTGCCTTATGGGAAAGCAAGCACTCTTTGTCTTCCAGGGGAAGTTTCCAATGTCTTGGGCTGGGGCACAGAGAAGCCTTTAATGGAGCAGGTATCAGATAAGAGGCTGGAATTGGAGTTAACCCTTTCACTCTTGTGGTGCTAGCTTAGGCCGGTGACCAGAAGGAGGGAGCGGCATGATTGGAATGCTGCCCTGCACTGCATGGGAACTGGGGGAGCTGTCCTACTTTGCCCGTCTGTCTGTACCGCCCGTGCACTAGAGGGGTCTCCATTGGAGAGACCAGGTCAGAGCCACCAGTAGGGTCAGCAGGGGCTTTGGGGCAGAGCCAGAGTGGGTGTGAATTTCACTTCCACCATCATCTCCTTCCTGGCACCTACCTCTGGTCCAAAAAACAACTGATGGAAATTTGTGTGAGTTGTGGCTCTTGCCAGCCCAGTAGTCCTGAGGGGCACTGGGGCACTCTCTAGAGAGCCCACTGCCCCAGGGAACTACACCTAGCCCTGGCTAGGGTCCTGTGGTCACCTGTCAGGTGTGACCAGCCTTTAGGCCTTGGCCTGATACCCTCTGACTCATGAGTCTAGGGTGTGACTCGGAGCTGGATCTGCGACCCTCGCCTGTCTAAAGCAGAGATAAGACAGCCTCCAAGGATGCGCTGAGGTTGTGTTGACTTTAGGCTGGAGCTTTGCTCCCATTGGAGCCTTGCTCTTCCCACTGGTCCCCTGAGCCTGGGCTGACCCTTCCAGGTACGCTGCAGGCTCTTGGTGTTTTTTAAGGTGTTTCCAAAGGACAGAGAAGGCCTGTTCTTCACCCCGTCCCTTGCTGCTGCTGGCTCTGCTCAGGCTGGTTTCCCTGGGCTCTAGGTGGTGGGAATGCAGGAAATGAGAGGAGAGGCAGGGGGCCACTGAGGCCAGGTGGACCGGAGAGTGGAAGGAGCCCTAGTGAGGGCATGGCTCCATCTGCTTCATGGCACAAGGCTTAGGACACAGGCCAAGAACAGACCAAGCCCTGTTACTGAACCAGTCTCATTGTGCCCCTGCGCAGCATGCCCATCATCAAGATGATGAGTTTGCAGCAGAGAGAGGGTTTATTCACGAGGCAGCCAAGCAAGGAGATAGGAGAATAAGTCTCAAATCTGCCTCCCTGAAAATGGGGATTAGGGATATTTGTGGGATAGGGGGGCGGAGTGTGGGAATACATGATTGGAGGTGAAGAGAAGTGAGGTAATTGGTTATCCCTCCAAACATAGTCATGCTTCGTGCCTCTTCATAGGACCAGGTTCACAAAATGCTGGTGCTAGCGTGATCTGAGGGTGGAGTTTTCAGCCCCTTGACGTTAAAAGGTCGCCTATTGGGTATTCGCATAGGCCCAGTTGATGAGTCGGTGGTGTTAGCCAGCCTGAACTGGACAAGGAGTTGACTCTCAGTTCCTGAAAAATAACTTAAGCACCTGTTACCACGGTGACCCATGAGTCAGAGATGTTATCTATAGAGTGGGCTTTAGTAATGCATTATCTAACTACTTTTGCAAACAGACAACTAACTAGTGCTAGTTAAGGCAAGTTGGCCCCGGGTTTCAGTCCCAGGTCCAGCTCGGCCAGTTGCTAGCTGCAGTCAAGTGACCTGATATTCTGTGTCTCTGTCCACTGCCTATGAGTCGAGAGGTTATCTCATGGCTTGCAGCAAGGTGAAGTGGCAAAGGGCTAAGGGAGCACCCGCCATAAGGAGAGCTGTTGTCATTTTTGTGCGTGGGTATCTCTGGTGTTGTCATCACAAAGGGAAATATTATCGTCACCATGTGTTCAGCTGCATCCGACACGGTGCTTCCCAGTCCAAGCAGATCCAACCATCTCAGGGTGGCATGCTTGTGAGCAGGGAATGTCAGAGTGCAGGTGGCATTCCAGCAGACGAAGATCCTCCACACAACACTGGTTCCCCAGATGTTAATGGTAATCCATGAAAATAGAGTTCCCTGCCAAGTAAACTGAGAAATGCTAAGTTAAGAGGTCTGACTACTCCAGACTCACAGATTTTTAATGTGCTAATGTGCTTTTTAAAAAACTTACTATGGAGAATTTCAAACATATCCAAAGCACACAGAATAGCATTGTGGGCCCCTGCGTGTAGCTTGGATCCCATAGTTACATTAAGACGCTTGTTCCTGCGGAGCCCCACCCTCTGCCCTCCCCCATTCAGGTACAATTATTTTTTGGGTTTTTCTTTTTCAAGTTAAATTTGTATACATTGAAATTTACGTGCAGTTTAAGACATATAAGCGAGGGGATGTCATTTTTTGTAAGTTCAAGTGTCAAACTTTATTGTGTATAGTTAAGCAATTATTCTAGCCCCGTTTATTGAATAAGCTAGTCTTTCTCCTCTGATTTAAAGTATACTGTTATATTACATTAAAAGCTAATATTTAATTAGGTTGTCTGTCTTTTTAAATCAAATTTATTGGGGTATACTTTACATTCAATGAGTTCGATGAGTTCTAACAAATGTATCACCATCATCAAGAATATAGACCTTTTGGGCCGGCCCCGTGGCTTAGCGGTTAAGTGCACGCGCTCCGCTACTGGCGGCCCGGGTTCAGATCCCGGGCGCGCACTGACACACCGCTGCTCCGGCCATGCTGAGGCTGCGTCCCACATACAGCAACTAGAAGGATGTGCAGCTATGACATACAACTATCTACTGGGGCTTTGGGGGGAAAAAGGAGGAGGATTGGCAATAGATGTTAGCTCAGAGCTGGTCTTCCTCAGCAAAAAGAGGAAGATTAGCATGGATGTTAGCTCAGGCATGATCTTCCTCACAAAAAAGAAAAAAAAAAGAATATAGACCTTTCCATCACCCCAAAAGTTCCTGTGCCCTTTCCAATCCCTCCCCCACCCCTGGCTTGGAACCACTGACCTGCTTTTTGTGACCATAGATTAGATTTGGGTCACCTAGAGTTTCATATAAACAGAACCATGTAGCATCGAGACTGTCTGGCTTCTGTCACTCCGAGTTTAGTGTGTGAGAGACGCATCCGTGTGGCTTGATCCCTTGTACTGCTGCCTGGTGCTCCTCTGTAAAGATGGGCCCCATTTATCATCCACCAGCTGAAGACATTTGGACAGTCCAGGTGTGGGCACTATGGGCATTCCAGTACAAGTCTTGCTGGAGGGATGCAGGTTCTTCCTTTCTCTTAGCTAAATACCTGGGAGGGGAGCTGCATGTTTGATTATGAGAACTTGCCAGACTGTTTTCCACAGTGGCTGTGCTATTTGGGGAGCATCCTGTTCACTCTGTGCCACGTTTGGTTGTCCCATGGTATATTCCTCTGCACGGACAGCTGGCTATTTCCATTTCACTGTTAGAAGCCTGTAATTCAGGCCCGGCCCGCTGCCCTCTCCCGAGCCCCCTGCTTCGTGGGTGCCCAGCCCCTGGTGACTGTCTGGAACCCTGTCCTGCAGATGGTGCAGTCGTTGGGCTTTGCCATCTACCGCGCGCTGGACTGGGGGCTGGACGAGAGCGAGGAGCGCGAGCTCAGCCCGCAGCTGGAGCGGCTCATCGACCTCATGGCCAACAATGACAGCGACGATGGCGGCTGCGGGGCGGCAGACGAGGGCTATGGGGGCCCCGAGGAGGAGGAGGAGGCCGAGGGTGGGCCCCGCGCCGTGCGCACCTTCGCCCAGGCCATGCGGCTGTGCGCCGCACGTCTGACCAACCCCCGGGGTGCACAAGCCCACTACCAGGCCGTGTGCCGCGCACTCTTTGTGGAGACACTGGAGCTGCGGGCCTTCCTCACAAGGGTCCGGGAGGCCAAGGAGGTGAGCAGAGAAAGGGTGTGCCAAGGAGGGGTGCGGTGGATGCAGGCGGGAGGGGCCAAGAATGTGGGGGGCAGGAGGCCATGGGGTGCTTCCAGGAGGCCAAGGAGGCAAGGGGTAGGGGGTGGGGAGGGGAAAAGGGGCAAGAGGGGGCTGGGTGCCCAGGTGGTGAGCAAGTGGGAGGGGTTGCAGGAGGAAGAGGAGAGGCCAATGAGGTGCCTTTGTGTGCAGGGTCGGGCGCAGTTGGGTGGCAGGGCGTGGCCGGTCTGTTCCCTTTCGTGGGTTGGTCCAGCAGGGAGTGGACATTCTCAGGGCAGGACTTGGAATAGCCATAGTTTACTGTCTGTGCTCTGGGCAGTCACTGTCCTAAACACTTTATAGGTTTTAATTTAACCCTCACACCTTCTTATCCAGGTTTGCACAGGGCATCGAGGCTCAGAGGCCTTAAGTACCTGGCTGCCAGCCTATTGGCCCCATGACATCGCTCCTCTTGCCTCTAAGTTATTGACCTCCCTGACCCCATGTTATCATCTGCAAAGGGGGCTATGCCTTCTGCCTCCTGGCTCACCCCTCTAGGTGCTGGTTCCTTCTGAAAACAGAATGCTAAAGGCAGCCCGTTCCTGCAGCTCAGGACCAAGCACAGTGCTGTGTGCTTGGAGCTTTGGGGAGGTGGGCAGCTGAGGGAGAGAACACTTGCCCAGGTGTTTGCCCTGCCTGTGACAGTCCGACAGTGCTTTCCACCACCCATCTCCAAGAAGACAGACCCTCCCTGTGGGTATCACCCATTTTACAGATGAGCCAATGCAGGCTCTACCCCAAGTCACAGAACTAGTACAGGGCACAGCTGGGGTCTAACCTGGCTCCCGAGCTGGCCTTCTCCCCCAGGGCTGTCCTGCCTCTTTTGGTCCCAGAGTCAGGAGCTGACAGTCTTCCTCTCAACTCTTCTAGCCTCTCCCTTGGAGGGAACTAAGGTGTTTCCTTGAAACAGGGGTCTTGGCGCACAGAGACCCCTGTCTCACGTTAGCATTTCACAGATAAGAAAATGGAGGCTTTGGAGAGCTCGGGGAATTTGTTCCACTCTCTCTTGCTTCAGTGGCAGAGAGTATTTTTGGAATTAACTGTCTGGTTCCTGATTCTCCCGACTGGCTTCCCTGACCCTCTGGGCCTGAGCAGGCTCTCAGGATTGTTCTGACTGATGGGGCCTGGGACCCAGTACAGGACAAGTCCGAGATGCTGCTTGAGCCACTTGGCCCTCATCTGCGGCCCAGTCGATAGCCCAAGGTTGGGGGTTCCTTGGCCCACTCCCAGTCTCCCATGGCCAATCCGTGTTCCTTCCCCCCTCCTCCTTGTCTTCTTGGAGATGTTCTTCCAATGCTCTAATTAGCGGATGGTCTTAATGTTGTCGTCTTTCTTGATCTGAAGTCATCTGCTCTATTGCTGAGGTCGATTCCTTACCCAGACAATGGAAGCTTTCTTTAGCAGGAGCAGACAGCTCTGGGCTTCAAGCAGTTGATCCAAGAGGAGTTCAGGGAATTGGTGGTGGGAGGGGGTGAGAGGAGGGTCTGTCAACGGGGCACAGCTGTCCTGGCATTTTGGGCATAAAGAGCCTGCTCAGGGACAGGTATAGATACTCCAGGAAGGATGGAAGACCCACCCTTCATGCACTTTGCCCACAGGGACCAGGTCACACACAGGTCTATTTTTAGAATCACACACCTTGTGCTGCTCAGAGACTTGGCAGAGTTTTCTAGAGCATCCCAAAGCAGTTTGGCAAGTGGCTTGGGGCAAAAGCCAGGCTAACTGGTTCTGTCTTATTGTGGGAGTGGGGCTGGTGCTAAACGGCAGATGCTTCTCCAGGGAGGGGGAGTTGGTGAGAACAGAGATCCAGAGAAACGAAGGCAGTGAATCTAGCAGCTTCTTCCCAAATTCTCAGCATAGAACAGTTACCTCACAATCCCTGACATCCTTCATGGGCTCTCACCAGGATGGCGGCATTTTTCCCCACTTCACAAAATACATACCTCTGTTTCCTGGGACTTGCTGTGTAACTCATCCATCCACCCGTCCACGCACCCGTCCACCCATGCACCCACCACTCATCCACCCACCCATCCACCCATCCATCTACCCCACCCACCTATCCACCATCTATCCACCCACCCACCCACCCTCCCATCCACCCATCCACCACTCATCCATCCACCCATCCATCTACCCACTCATCTATCCATCCATTTATTCATTCATTCAACCGATGTTTAAAACCTAGCATATGCCACACTGTACTAGGAGCCAGGACTATTAAGATGAGAAAAAACAGAAACAAAACATGGTTCTGGCCTCATGGAGCCAATAGTCCAGACAGCAATCAAAGAAGCAGATAAACATAAAACTCCAGCTGGGATCATGTGCAGAGAAGTGGCTGTGGGTGTTCTAAGAGGGGGGTGTGCGTGTGGCCTGGGCGAAGAGGCTAAGAAAGGCGTTCCTGAGGAAGCGCCCTGTGGGCTGAGATCTAAAGGAAAATGGGGAGCTCTTCACAGATGAGAGAGAGCGAGGCTTCCCTGCCTGCATCTGCTGTCTGTGGAGGACACAGCGCCTCACTGGGGCATGTGGATCAGGTGAGAGAAGGGTGTGGGTTCTTTGCAAACTAGAAGATTCTGTGTAGGGGCTTGGAGTGTGTTACGCCCTCACCCTGCCCTTGCCAGGGAGAAGCTGCCAGAGAGCTGATGGGGCACCAAGTGTCCCGTGTGGCTCCAAGGCTGATGGCTTGATTTCCCCTGATCTCTCTCTAAGCCCCAAAGCCTTGGCCAAAATGCCCCCTTGTCCTTTTTTAGCTGGTGGAATAATAGCCTGTGTGGTATGGAAATGTCCCCAGATGGACAGACCAGTAGGGGACCCACATCCCCATGGCTGCCATTCTCCCACCTTCCCTGGACTAACAGATGCTGCAGAAGCTTCGGGAGGATGAGCCGCAGGCAGAGAAGCCCCTGGTGGAGCTTGACAACCTAGGGCGCACGGACTGGGTAAGACATGGGTTCCCTCTCCCCGGGACACAGACTGGGGTCTGTGCCTGGAGGGCCTGTGGGAGCCCTGCCTGGGACTAAGGGTGTTTTCATCTCCTGGGGGCCCAGGCCCGACTGTGGGTCCAGCTCATGCGGGAACTCCGCCATGGGGTGAAGCTCAAGAAGGTGCAGGAGCATGAGTTCAACCCCCTGCCCACCGAGTTCCAGCTCACGCCCTTCGAGATGCTGATGCAGGACATCCGTGCTAGGAACTACAAGCTGCGCAAGGTCATGGTGAGCTGAGGGGAGAGGACCTGTCCGGAGCCTCCCTCCCACCAGAGACTCTGGAGTCCCTGCTCTGCGTGCCGCTCAGCTGGGTATTCGAACGTGAATAAAGCAGATGGCTCACGGTTGCATTGGGGACACAGTGTGACAAGGGCAGGGAGAGGGGATGTGGAGGATTCTGGAGGACCAGAGGCTGCAGGATTGTACCGTTCAATGCCAGCATCGCTCTGAGAATTTTAAATGTGCGAGTTCATGTCATTCTGATGCCGCTGTGAGGCTGGTGCCCTTGACCTCCATTTCCACATGAAGAGTCTGAGATGCAGGGAAGCTGGTGATAGTGTTAGGCTTTGAAGGCCACAGTCACAGCCTGAGAGGGAGTTTGGTATGAGGACCAGGCCTTGCTCAGGGCTGAGTGAGCCCCTCCCGTGGCCCTGGCCCCAGCAAGACCTTAGCCTTGGCTGCCTCCCCATCCTCCCCCACAGGTCGATGGGGACATCCCTCCCAGGGTGAAGAAGGATGCCCACGAACTCATCCTCGACTTCATCCGCTCTCGGCCTCCGCTGAAGCAGGTACCAGCTCTGCGCCTCCTCCCCTCTTGGCCTCCCCAACAAGGGCAGCCTGGAGTCTCCACTGAGGGAGGTAGCCAAAGGTTGGTTCTGGGAGGGACTCCACAGGAGCACACAGGACCTCCTGGCTGGGTCACCAGGACTCCTCAGACAGGGTTCCTCCCCAGCTCCAGAGTGTGTCCGTGTCATGGCCCCACTGCCCCTCCTACCTGGAGCTGCCACACTCCTTGCAGGTCTCGGAGAGAAGGCTTCGCCCCTTACCCCAGAAGCAGAGGACCCTGCACGAGAAGATCCTGGAGGAAATCAAGCAGGAGCGGAGGCTGCGCCCAGTTGGGGGCAAGTGCTGGGGTGGCTGGGGTGAACATGGGAGACTCCTCCTCCCCCCCCCTTCCCTTACTTCCTTCCCTCTCCCCGCTACCGTCCTGCCCTGTCCCACCTCCCTGCCTCCCCCAGGGTTTGGTTCTCTGCCATGCATCCTCAACGCCTGCTCCGGGGATATCAAGTCCACTTCCTGCATCAACCTGTCCATCACGGATGCTGGGAGCAGTGCTCAGCGCTCGCGGCCCCGGGTCCTGCTCAAGGCGCCCACCTTGGCTGAGATGGAGGAGATGAACACGTCTGAGGTCAGAGCCCACAGATTCCTAAAAAGAGACCCAGGAGGAGGAGGGGGCGGTGGGCAAGAAGTGAGAAGAGGCCAAGCAAAGCTAGGGCTGGCATCCAGCTGTGTGGGGTGTCCACTGCTCAGGGCTGTGGGCAGCACCCTCCTCTGATGGTGGTCTCCTGCTCTGGGGCTGGGTCTGCCCTGGAAGCAGGCATGGCAGGGCTCAGGGTCCCTTTCCCATCTTGGTGGCTCAGAAGGGTGACTGGGACAGTGGCATTGGGCCACCCGTTCCCACAGCACAAAAAGGGCTGAAGTGGAAGTGCTTCATCACCTTGAGGCTGAGGAGCTGAGCAGCCCCCCGGTTGATGTCCTGGCATGGCTCCCCGTCCTGCACTCACTGCCCTCTGAGCCCAGGAAGACCAGGGGCAGTGGCCATCTCGGTGGGCTCCACCCGACGCCAGACCTGTCCCCCCAAGGACTTTCTGGAGGCCTCAGGCAAGGTTTTGGTTTTGAGACACTTGGCTTCCACTGCCCAGAGGACAGTCGGGCTGGGCAGTGAGTAGAGGATGGCCCCATGGCCTCAGTGGACCCAGCACCACCCTCTGTGTCCTATGTCTCAGTCCAGGGATGGACAGGAGGCACTGGTGGGCAGAGTGGTTAGGGCAGGGCTGGGTCTGGTATGTCCACAGGAGGAAGAGTCTCCGTGTGGGGAGGTGACACTGAAGCGGGACCGCTCTTTCTCGGAGCACGACCTGGTCCAGCTCCGGAGCGAAGTGGCCTCTGGCCTGCAGCCAGCCACTCAGCCCCCAGGAGGGTTGGAGCCATCCCAGCCCCGCGTGGGCAGCGTGCATGCCTGGAGGCCAAGCATCCAGGAGCAGGGCAAGTGCTGCCTCTCATCCCCTTCTCCCTTGACTCTATCCCGTGGGTGCGTGTCCCTTGGCCTGTGTCCCATCATCTTCTGAGCAGGCAGCACCCAGAGGGTACAGGAGCTCATGCCTGCAAGAAGGGTGTTCAAGTTCAAGCCCAGCCTTACCTCATCACCTCAGGCAGGCATCCCACTTTTTTAACTTGAAAACTTTCTTAGTAATCCATATTCATTGTAAAACATAAGAAAAAACTTTAAAAAAATTCCTATGATTCTATTACCTAGAGATAATTACTATTAATATAGTGGTATACAGAAAAAAGCTAGATAGATGGATGGAGGAAGGATGATGGATGGAATAAGGATGACGGATGGATAGATGGATGGATGATGGATAGATGGATGGATGGATGCTTGATGGATGGATGATGGGTGGATGGATGGATGGATGAAGGACAGATGATGGATGGACAGACACATGGACAGATGGATGGACAGGTAGGTAGACGGATGGATGATGGATAGATGGATGGATGGATGGGTGATGGATGAAGGACAGATGATGGATGGCTAGACAGATGGATAGATGGATGGACAGATGGATAGACAGATGGTAGATGGATAGATGGATGGAAAGATGGATGAGTGATTGACAGATTCTTCTAGTCTTCTTTTTCTGTCAATGGAAACATGGCTACAGTGAACCAGATGGGTCATGCAGTACACACCACTCTGGAACCTGACCTGTCACTTGGGATTTCTCATGAGCCTGCTCCTTTCCCTCTCGGGCAGCACAGAGGACAGAACAATTCTACTGGCCATGCAGAATTAGTCCCACTGGTATAACGGCTGTGCTCCACGAAGTGCCGACAGGACATGGGGTTGTCACCCCACCCACTGCTTCCCAGCAGACATGTCCAGGCACCCTTCTCTGCCCTCAAGGTCACCTTGAGTCACCCTGTTGCTTTCTGGCCACTCTCAGGATAGTCCCATTTGGTAGTTATGATTCAATTTCTGGTGTGATGAGGTCCAGGCCAGGCCAGTTCCATACCTCACCGTCTCCCCCAAACTGTCCTCAAGACTCAGAGACCCCGTGGTTGAGGCGAGCCTGCCCCCTCCTCCTCCGTCCCTCTCTGTCCTTCTGGGTCTCCGGTGTAAAGTGCAGCATGTGGGACTAATGGAGGAGGAAGGACTTAGTACGTGGCCAGTGCTGTCTGTGCTTTGCATCACTGCTGGCTGCCATGGCTATGCATGGGGCTCAGATGTGGGGCCCCTTCAGGCCTGCCATACTGCACAGGCCCCTGACTTGCATGACATGCTCTCTACTTGACCTTTTGCTTGATTACCTCCCCACCCCCATGAAACCACCCCACCCGTCTCCTGCCTGGCAGGCCGCCTCCATTGTCCCCAGGGCACAGCCCTCCCAGACCAGAATTTCTGCCAGGTTGTCCTGACAGGGCCTCCATGTTCTTCCTCCAGGTTCCTTCCCTGTGAGCATCCAGTCCCAGCCTGACTCCAGCTCCCTCCCACACAGTGACCTGGGATCAACAGAGGAGGATAGGCCGAAGGAGGACAGGCAGGAAGCCTCCGAGGTCTCAGACGCCAATCACCTGTGGCTGGTGAGTGAGGGAGGCACTGTCATCTGGGGTGGCTGGGGTGGGGGTGCCTCTTGGACTCTCGTCTTCATCCTCCCCAGGACAAGGCCCCAGCACCTGTGCAGGAGTGGTGGTGGCTCCCTTGGTAGGTGTGGCTGCGTCTGTGGCTGTATCTGGAGAGGTTGGTCTTTGCTGCCACCTTCTGGGCTTCCGGGCACTGTGGCCTCCAAGCTAAGGGGACAGATTCATAGTCCCATCTCTGTGGGGTTAGGACAGATAAGAAACGTGGACGCCTGTGCCTTTTAGGCGTCAGGGTAGGCAGCATGATGTGACAGGAAAGTGTTTCATTGGGTTGAGACCTTGACCCCGGCCTCCACTCTGCCACTGTGCTCTTGCCCTCTCTGCACCTCCGTTTCCTAGCTGTAAATTTTGTCTGACTTGTAACTGTGAAGAGCTGACACTTGCTGATGCTTTGAGGCCCCCATTTTGGACGTGAGCCTTGGTGTCTGATTTTATCAAAAGGATAAGGTAGTGGAAATGCTGGGGGCCACAGGGGCCCTGGGGCACATGGAGGGCATCAGTGGGGTGCATGGAGGGTGTCAGTGGTGTATAGTCCTCACCGGTTCTTTGAAGTCTTATCAAGGGGATCAGATGAGGACAGATGTTAAAATGTTCAGAAAGGTATAAGTGCTACGTAAACGTAAAGCAGCATTAATGTTGATATTCCCCACCTGAAGGTGAGGTTTTCTGCTTTGTGTCCTGTATTAGTTATCTATTGCTGCATAAAAAAGTACCCTAAGGGCCAGCCCTGGTGACCTAGTGTTTAAGTTCGGCACGTTCCGCTTCGGCGGCCTGGGTTTGGTTCCCAGGCACAGACCTACACCACTCGTCAGTGGCCAGGCTATGGGGGCAGCTCACATACAAAAAGAGGAAGATTGGCAACAGATGTTAGCTCAGGGCAAATTTTCCTCAGGGAAAAAAAAAATTACCCTAAAACTTAGCAGCTTAAAACAACAAACATTTCTTATCTTACACAGTTTCTAGGGTCAGGAGTCCAGGAGTGACTCAGTTGGGTGGTTCTGGCTCAGGGCCTCTCAAGTGGTTAGAGCTGGAATGTCAACAGGGGCAGCAGTCTCATCTGAAGGCTCAACTGGGGCTGGAAGAGCCGCTTCCAAGGTGGCTCCCCACCCAGCTGTGGGTGGGAGGCCTCAGTTCCTCCCCACGTAGACCTCTCCACAGGCTGCTTGAATGTCCTCACAACATGGCGGCTGGCTTCCCCCAGAGCACGTGGTCTCTGAGAGAGCCAGGCAGAAGCCAGTGTCTTTATGACCCCATCTTAGACAGGACACATGGTCATTTCCACCTTAATGTGTTCATTACAAGTGAGTAACTAAGCCCATTCTCAGGGGAATGGAAAGGCCCACTTCTTGAAGGAAGGGATGTCAAGGAACTGGGGGACACATTTTAAATGACAAGTCCCGTAAGTGTTTGTTCAACGGAGATCTTGCAAGTGCTTTCTGAGAGATTTTGCTATCAAACATGGGATGACCTCAGTGATCTCCTCTCTGCCCTGAGCACGTACTCATAGCCCCATCTGAGGGGTGGCCTGCTGGTCTCTGCACCCAACATGAGACCTGTTGGCCATGTGTGCAGTTAGTGTAACACATGTAAGGTTGAGAGTGGGATTGGTCAAATATAAACAGCACCGTCAGGCTACTGGAAACAGAAATCAGAAGCCAGAGGACCTGATGCTTCAGGTCAGTGGAGAAGAGCACAGGGGTCCCAGATTCTCCTCGAGTGCCAGACACTAGCAGGTGTTCAGCAACCCTAAAGAGGATAATTCACTGAAAACCTGAAACAGAAAACACTATCCAGCTCCTGTCTTTGTGGCACCCCACAGGCTAGTGCCCTCCATGACACCTCATCTCAGTAGCTAACATTTTTAACACTGGGTGCCAGGCATCATGCCAGGGCTTTATGTGTGATGTCAGGGGAGCTGAAGTACAACCCCACTTTACAGAACAGGAACTGAGGCTCTGAGAGGTCGGGACTATGCTAAGCCTGGGGGGGAGAACAGGGTGTGCTCACCACGGCAACCCGAAGGGCAGGCAGTTGTGATGAGTAGGACAGACGGACAGACTCAGAGTCCCACTGGATGGTGAGCACCATGCGTGAGGCTGCATGCAAGAGGCTCCCACGGGGGAGACAGCTCCATGAAGGATTCCAGGAAGAGGGGAGGTGGGCCTGGGGAGCCTGGTTGGTTTTGAAGGGGAGCAGGAGGAGAGTGGTCATTGAGGGGGCTGGGGCAGGCCAGATGGCGGGCGAGGCCAGGTCATAGGAAACCTTGCCTATAGCAGCAGGGCCCCATCAGAGAAGTTGCAGGGAACACATTCAGCTCCCAGGCGTAGATGAACTGAAGAACAGGGCATTTTAAGAAGTTTCTGGGCTTGGGTAGACTGAGGCCAGGAAGATTCCAGGGTCCTCAGGGAGGAGAGGAAGTTGTGGAGACCTCCGGAAGAGGCCTCATCCCTGAGGGCCGGAATGACCCTGCCACCCAGGAGTTCAGCCACCCCGTGGAGAGCCTCGCTCTGACCGTGGAGGAGGTGATGGATGTGCGCCGAGTGCTGGTGAAGGCCGAGATGGAGAAGTTCCTGCAGGACAAGGAGCTCTTCAGCAGCCTGAAGAAGGGGAAGGTAAGGTGGCCAGCCCTGGACTGCTCCCTTACCAGGCAGGAGCCCTGGGTGCAGAGCAGGCGAGGATGGGCCTGGACCCAACGTGTTTTGGACAGAATTGGGCTATAACTTTTCCTTACAGATTTGCTGCTGCTGCCGAACCAAGTTCTCACTGTTCTCCTGGCCACCCACCTGTCTCTTTTGCAAGAGGTGAGCCTTCTGTAAGCACCTTGGCTGTGAATTAGCATGGGAAGGAGGAGGTAAGAGCCTCTAGGCCAGCACTGTCTAATAGAACTTTCTGTGATTGTGGGGATGTTCTATCATGCACCATGGCTAGGCAACGAAGGAACAGAATTTTTAATTTAATGTAATTTTAATTTTAATAGCTAAGGGTCTCCCACTTTCAGCCCAGGTGGGGTAACAGGCACCAGAACAGGCACCTTCCACCTGAAACAACCAAATAAATAAACAAATAAGCCAAGGAATGTGAAAATAGTTTTCAAGACATTGTATATCAGGCAACAAATGGGAAGCAGACAGGTGAGCCCTGTGGCCGCCCCAGCTGCCTGGGGTTTCTAGGTCATGAATTAGAGCCCGCTCGGCTCCTTAAGCAGGAGGAGGTAAAGCTGAGAACCCAGGGAGACCACAGCAGATAGTGTTCTCAGTACAGATTTCCAGAGGGGAGAGAGGTGTCCATAGAGCAAGCCTCAGACCTGCAGAAGGTCCCCCTTGAGTATTCAGCAGAGTACTGATCAGCATGTACATGCAAGGAAATTACTGAAGGCTGGGAAAGAATCAGCCTGAAGCATGGGCCAAATCTGGACTGGAACACAGCCACACCCATTTGTTTATTTATCATTCATTTAGTCACAGCTAAAATGTTTAAATCTGACCCTTTACAGAAAGAGTTTACTGACCTCGTGCTAAAGGCTTAAAGGAACAGCATCAGGAATGGTGTCTTCCCACCGGCCATTGTGGAAATGTTGTAATCTGTAGGCCACTGCGTGGGATACACAGAAGGCCTTGCCTCACTAGTGGGAGTAGGTACTCCTAGCTGAGCATTGCTCCAGACCTAACCAATCACAAAAGCAAGACCTGGAAGGACCAAACTATTCCCAAGTATCTTAACTGCTTCCCAGAACAAAGCTCAAGAATAGGAATAAAAAAGTATCCAGCACCCAGCAAGATAAAACATCTAGCATCCAATCAAAGATTATCAGACATGTCACCACGTAGGAAAACATGACCCCTGATGAGAAAAATCAATCAAAATCACCCAGAACTGATGCAGATGTTAGAATTAGCAGATAAGGACATTAATAGTTTTGAAATGCATTTCATATGTTTAAAAAGTTAGAGACATGGAAGATATAAAGAAGACACAAATCAAACCTCTACACATGAAAACTAGAATGTATGGGATGAAAATTATGCTGGATGAGGTTAATGGCAGATAAGACATTCAGAAGAATGTGCAGAAGAAAAGATTAGTCAAGTTGAAGACACAGCAATAGAAACTATCCAAAATGAAAACACTGAGAGAAAAAAGAATATAAAAAATGAAAAAGGCATCAATGAGTTGTGGGATAATGTTAAAAACTCTAATATAGGTGTAAGTAGAGTTCCCAAAGGAGAAGTGGGGGACAGAAAAAGTATCTGAAGAAATAATGGCTAAAAAAATTTTCCAAATTTGATAAAAAATATAAACCCACAAGAAACTCAGTGAACCCCAAGCACAAGAAACAGGAATAAAATCCCACCAAGGCACATAGTAATCAATTTGATCAAAACAAGTGATAAAGAGAAATTCTTAAAATCAGCCCTCAAAGACATGTTATGTATGTTATGTACAGAGGAAAGACAAAGATGACTGCAGATTTCTCGTTGAAACAATGCAAGCAACATCTTTAAAGTACTGAAAGAAGAAAAAAGCTGTCAGTCTGGAATTCTATACCCAGCAAGAATATGTTCAAAAACAAAGGCAAAAGTAAAGACATTTCCAGAAATACAAAAGCCAAAAGAATTCTTCACCAGCAAAGCCACACTAAAACAAATGTTACACGAGGTCCTTCACATAGAAGGAAAATGATACCAGATGGAAATTGTTATTTTGTTTTTTTGTTTTTTTGTGTGAGGAAGATTAGCCCTGAGCTAACATCTGTTGCCAGTCCTCCTCTTTTTGCTGAGGAAGACTGGCCCTGGGCTAACATCCATGCCCATCTTCCTCCACTTTATATGGGATTCCGCCACAGCAGAGCACACACACTTAACTGCTACGCCACTGGGCCGGCCCCCCAGATGGAAATCTGAATCTATACAAAGGAATGAAGAACACCAGAAGTAGCAACTACTAAGACAAATATATAAGATTATTTTCTTAAAACTTTTTAAAAGGTAAACCAATATCCAGGACCCAACAAGGTAAAATTCAGTGTCTGGCATCCAATCACAGATTACCAGGCATGCCAAAAAAACATAAATAACAATGTATTGTGGGGTTTATAACATATCTATAAGTAAAAAGTATCATAACAATAGCATTAAGGCCAGGGAATGGGGGGAAATTGGAAATATGCTATTTTAAGTTTCTTATACTGTAGATGAAGTGGTAAAATATTACTTGAAGGTAAACTGTGATAAGTTAAAGACATATACTATAAGACTGAAAGCAACCGCTAAAATAACAAAACAGAGGAATAGCTTATAAGTCAACAAAGAAGATAAAATGGAATCATAAAAAATACTTGATTAATACAGGAGGCACAAAAAGGAAAAGGGAACAAATAACAAATAGGACAAAACAAAACAAATAGCAAGATGACAGACTTACACCCAACAATATCAGTAATTGCATTAACAGTAAATGGTCCAAACAACCCAATTAAAAGGCAGAGTTTCCCAGATTGAGTAAAGAAAGCAAGACAGACTGCTGCCTACAAGACATGTACTTTATTTATTTATTTATTTTGCTGAGGAAGGTTTGCCCTGAGCTAACATCCGCTGCCAGTCTTCCTCTTTTTGTGTGGGTCACTGCCACAGCATGGCCACTGACAGACAAGTGGTGTAGGTCTGTGCCTGGGGACCGAACCTGGGTTGCCAAAGCAGAGCGCACTGAACTTAACCACTAGGCTACCGGGGCTGGCCCAAGACATGTACTTTAAATAAAAAGACACAAATTGGTTAGAAGGAGAAGGATGGGGCCGGCCCTGTGGCTTGGTGGTTAAGTGCACGCGCTGCGATGCTGGTGGCCCGGGTTCGGATCCCGGGTGCGCATCGAGGCACCACTTCTCCGTTCATCCTGAGACCGAGTCCCACATACAGCAACTAGAAGGATGTGCAGCTACAACACACAACTATCCACTGGGGCTTTTGGGGGAAAAATAAAATAAATAAAATCTTTAAAAAAAAAAAAAAAAAAAGAAGGATGGAGAAATATATATAATGCCAACACCAGTCTAAAGAAAGCTAGGGTTGATATATTAATATCATACAAAATAGATTGTAGAGCAAAGAATATTACCAGAGATAAAGGAGTTCATTTCATAATGATAAAGGAAGGAAACAATAATCCTAAACATTTTCTACACCTAACAACAGAGATTCAGAATACATGGAACAAAAAAACTGATAGAACTGCAAGGAAAAACCTTTAAATCCACAATTATAACTAGAGATTTCAGTACCCTTCTCTCAACAATTGATAAAACTTGTAGACAGAAAAAACTAAGAATATAGAAGATTTGAACAACACTATCAACCATCTTGATCTAATTGATATTTAACACTACCCCCAACAACAGCAGAATCTACATTCTTCTCAAGTACACACGGAACATTTACCAAAATAGACTATATTATGGGTCATAAAACAAGTCTCAAAAATGTAAAAGAATTCAAGTTATACAAAATATGTTCCCACACCACAGTGAAATAAAATTAAATTAACCCAGAGGTTTGTTGATGGAAAATTAATTATGGGACATCCATGCAAGAGATTATGGTCCCTTGTTTTAAAAAATGAATTTGGGGGCTGGCCCGGTGCATAGCGGTTAAGTGCGTACGCTCTACTGCAGCAGTCCGGGGTTTGGATCCTGGGCGTGCACCGACACACTGCTTGTCAAGCCATGCTGTGGCAGCGTCCCATATAAAGTGGAGGAAGATGGGCATGGATGTTAGCCCAGAGCCAGTCTTCCTCAGCAAAAAGAGGAGAATTGGTGACAGATGTTAGCTCAGGGCTAATCTTCCTCTCACACACACACAAAGACAAAAAATGAATTTGGACAATTTGTCCTAATGTGGAGAAGAGTCCCTGATGTATCCTTATAGAATAGTATGCATAATACCCTACTTCATTTATTTTTATTTTTAATGTATATTTTTGTCAATATGTGCTTAGACAGATGTAGAGAATGGAAACTGCATTGCTAACAGGCCCCAACTCAGAGGATGTGCTTTACAGGAGAGGACTCCTCTGTCTAAATTACAGTTCTCTCTAACGTTTGAATTTTTAAAACAAGAAGGTATTTACTTTTGCAGTCAGGTATGGGGAATAAAAAACTGTTAATCTCTGCTTAAAACTGAGCATCTCAGTCAAGGCTCCTCTGGCTCAGATGGAGCCTCTGTGGTGAGACGGGTCAGGCACCCAAGTGTGGAGGGTGTGAGAAAACCGGGACCAGGTATTCCGAAGAAAGAGCTGTGAGAGGCAGCAGTATTTTGTGTGTAGAGCTAAATAAAAAGAAAAGCAAAATTTGGGAGTAAAATGAAAGAAACACACTGAACTCCCAGAGGGTAAGCAGACGGCGAGGACAGCTGGGCCTGGCAGTGTGCTGGTGGGACGTGGGGGCTGGGAAGCAGCTCTTTCCTCATGGGTGTCCTCAGAGCTGATGCTCCTGCCCCTCTTCTCTCCCTTCCAGAGCTGTCTGCATGTCCTGCAGCGTGAAGGTGAGGATCCTGTGGAGTCTGAGCAGGCCTCAGTGTCTGAGGTGTCCTGCAGCCTGACTTGGCTTCTCTGGGGGTGGGGCAAGGGGTACAGAGGCTGTGCTGTCTCCTGTTAGATGATCCCACCTGCAGAGCCACCTCTTCCATCTCCTTCCTCAGGGCAAAATCCATTCCTACACTTTCCAAGACTGTGCAGTTTTTATTTATTTATTTTTTTAATTTATTTTATTTTTTTCCCCCAAAGCCCCAGTAGATAGTTGTATGTCTTGGCTGCACATCCTTCTAGTTGCTGTATGTGGGACACGGCCTCAGCATGGCCAGAGAAGCAGTGCATCGGTGCGCGCCCGGGATCCAAACCCGGGCCGCCAGCAGCGGAGCACACGCACTTAACCACTACGCCACGGGGCCGGCCCATTTTGTGCAGTTTTTAAAGACCCTTGTGGGTGGCCTTTTTTTTTTTTAAACATTCCATGTTAGTCGGCCGGTGCCAAGAAACCCTTCACTTCCCCTCTGCAAGTCCTAACTTCTGACACTACAGCTTCCTTGAGTGTTTTTGGAGAGGCTCTTGAGCAGTTTGGGGTGTGTGTACATGCAGGTGTGTACAGAGATTAAAAAAACTGTCACATTTAGAAGTATGTCACCCCATTACGGCTCAGCCCAGAAACAAGAATCTGCTTAAGAGGGATTTTTACCACCACTGCTTTCAAACCATGCCACTTGGTCGTGGAAGAACGCCCATCTCATCAGTGTTAAGTATTTACTGCACACGGGGCATGATGCTAGATTCTGTATGGTCCAAAAAGGCTCAGTTCCTGCTCTGAGAAGTGCCTGTGTAGATGAGCAGAAGATGCAGTGGGGTGTGCAATGAGCCAGGAGGCACATGCTTCAGACATAAGGCAGTGTGTGGAGTGACCTCTAGGGCAAATGGTGACCTCTAGACTCACCCCTTAGGAAGGAGGACCCGGCCACCCACTTCCAAAAAAATTGGCCATGAAAACCCTATGAATAGCAATGGAGCATTGTCTGATAGAGCACCAGAAGGTGACAGGACAGCACACAAAGACCGGGCAAGGTTCTGCTCTGCTCTCCACAGGGGCACTAGGAGTCAGAATCGACTCCATGGCACTAACCACAAGGCATCCCCCTGCTGCCACGCCAGACCAGAGCAGGTGGCCGTTCAGAGGGGTGGCGAGTGTGCCTGAACTGTCTCTGAGGGATGCCTTTGTCCACATCTCCGTGTGTTGTAGATGAAGATGCCTTCTAAGAAGTTTGCACACATCCCCGTTTACACGCTGGGCTTTGAGAGTCCTCAGAGGGTGTCAACTGCCAAAACCACGCCAACGCAGAGGAGAGACGTCTTCCAGTGCGTTCCCTTGCGCTTTGCTGATGTCGCTATGGTAGTCAGGCACTGGCAGGAACTTGGAGCTGGGATGGGGGTGGGGTTTGCTGGGACACCAGGAGGAAACGGAGATGCGAGGCAGTTGTTCTGAGACACAGGTATCTTGGAGGGCCCTGGGGGCTGAGTAGTGTGAGATGGAAATGATCCAGCTGGTCAGCACCCAGGACTCAGGTTCCTCTCAAGGAGGAGCTTTTGCCGGGATGAACTTCGCCCAGCATGTTCATTCCAAAACTGTTTGCCTGATGGGGGGACCTCCCTGACAGCCCTCTCCCACCCCAGATCCCTGCAGGGGCCTCAGTGGCGGAGCGTGGAGGAGGAGTTCCCACACATCTATATGCATGGCTGCATCTTGAAGGACGTTTGCAGCGACTGCACCAGCTTCGTGGCAGATGTGGTACGCTCCAGCCGCAAGAGTGTGGACGCTCTCAACACCACGCCTCGCCGAGTCCGGCAGACCCAGTCCCTCTACGTCCCTAGCACCTGGACTCTCGACTTTAAGTGAGAGCCCTTGGCCACCCTGGGCCCCCTGCTGGAGGCTTTTCAAGGAGGGCAGGCCTCCAGGGAGGAGCCAGGCTAGTCCTGGACCAGGCTGAGAAACTCCCATCCCGGGGCACAGCCGCCAGCCTGCCCTCCTAAGTGTGCATGTACATATATACATAGTAGATACATTTATATAATATATATACCCACAGCCTATATATTTATATATATGTTTCTGACCCCAGAGTTCCTTTGGGGCCAGGCTCACTCCAGGACCCTCTCCGGGGGAGGCTGTTTCCTCTCAGGATTCCTTGGGCGGGGCAGGGAATGGAATGGGTTTTCTCAGTCAGATAGGAAGGAGGGCAGGTTGGAGGTAGAGCACAGGATTTCAGATGTTGAGGCTGTGGGGAAGACCCCTGCCCTGTGTTGTTCTCTTCCCCATCCCAGGGATGGGAACACAGCAGCTTCCCCTCCCTGGGTGGACATCCAGGCTGGGCCAGGGTGGCCTGGTCCCCAGGTGGACTGGAGTACCTGCCTGCATCTGCGCTCTCTTAGCAGGGACATGGGCTGCAGAGGCCCCTGGGAAGCTTCGGAGTAGGCTGAGATTCTCCTGGCGGGCGTCCCAGGCATCCTACCCTTCCATTTGGAAGGTTGGAGGCAGAGCTCGCTGCCTGACCCCTGCCGGGCATCCATGCCCCAGCCATCTGCCACACAGCTGGTGCTGCCATCCTCACACACTCAGAGGTCCAGGGGTGGTGCTGGCCTGAGGGCCCTAGCAATGCTGGTGGTCCTGCTACAGGGAGGAGCTCTGTAAATCTGTACTCACGGCCACTCTTGGCCTAATAAAGATGGTCTCATAGTCTCCCGTCTCAGGTGTGGACTGAGAACTAGCAGCCGCAGCAGTGGGCGCATTCTCCAAGGGCAGAAGCTGGGCTCTGAGGAGCCACCTGCCCTCCAGTGCATAGTCAGGATGCCCATCGCAAGACAGGGGCACTGAGGCGACTCTCTTCCTTGATGCCCCACTTCATAATCTGGCCATCTTGGTCCTACGGCCAGCAGGGCTGCAATGTGGGACAGCAGCTCAGCCTGCTGCCTGGGGGACCCTTTGGCCTCATCCCCCAGATCTCTATTCCTGTTCTCTGGGCAGATGATTCCCTCAGGGTTGGCGGGGCGGGTAGCTCCAGCCTACTCTTCAGGAGAATGGTTAGAGGAGCACCTACATGCTCTGCCTGTCCACATGCACCTGGGAGGTGGCTTCTGCTGTCATCCCACCTTACAGATGAGGAAAGTGAGGGTCAAAGAGGCGAAGGAATTCAGCCAAAGATACACAGCTTGCCTGGGATCTCAACCCAGGCCTATCAGACGCCAGGCTCTAAAGCCTGCCACACAGACACAGGCCTGGAGGAGGCCCCGAGGGAGAGGATACTTTCTTCAGCTGGGGTCCAGGACATTCAATTACACAAATTTAGAGCAGCCAGTAAAAACAAGCAGCTTCCAGCACTTGTTCTGAGCATGTCATGAGTAGGGAGTTTTATTATTCCCATTTAAAATGAGATAACAGGCAGAGAGGGGAAGGAACCGCCTGGGCATGTGGCTGGCAGTGAGAAGGCTAGCATCAGTGCAGTCCTCTCTTGGAGCAGATACTCCTGGGAGGTGAGCACCATTGTCATCAGTCTCCTAATTCCACAGGTGGGGAAATGTGCAGGCCCACACTCCCAGTAGAGGGAGACCAGGGTTCTAATCCACACAGGAGCACTTGGACATGAAAGCCCATCCTGAGACAGCTGGGCTGAGCCGAAAGGGGCCCATACAAGCTTGAAGGTGAAGTCAAGAGGGGGCGTTACTGGTGCTTCCTTCTTGCTGCTGGCCTTGCCGCCCACTGACCCCAGGTACAGAAAGCTGTAGGGTCAGCCCACTGAACGAAGCCTGCCTCCACCTCACCTGATTTAGCTCTTAACACATGGAGGTCACTTACTCCAGAACTGTGGAGTAAGTGCCTGATGTGCCTGATGCCACCACATCCCTCACTGTGTCACACGGCTGCTGTCTTGCAGAGTGCAAAGCAGGAAGCAGCTCCAGGCTGATTCTCCCCAAGTTTCCATTTACAGGTGAGACAAGAAGCCTGCATAAATTAGTCACACCACTTGACCAGGGGTGACACAAAATCTAACAACTAGCCTGCCCCTGAACAATCAGAATGGACAGGACTGTGGTGTCCTCAAGGTCCTGCCTATGCTGAGCAAAACCCTTTAGTAGCTGGATTGCGGAAGGGGTGTTCTAGGGGACTCTGGGGGGGGGGCGGTGGCTGGAGCAGGTGGGACATATTGGGGGCCTGAGGCAGCCGGTATGTGCCAGCCAGTGTGAAGTACTTAAAGATCCTAGTGACCAGTACAGGCTGACAGACCAGCCATGCACACACATAGACACTCTCTCTTTCTCTCTCTGGAGACTCAACTCCCAACCTAAGTAAGGAACACAGACTTATGGGGGAGAGGAGGTGGGGTGGAGGTCAGAGGAGAGGGATCCCAAAGGTTATGAGCCACCCTGTCCCTGCAATCTCCTCTGGGTCCTTACCAGTGGCCTTCCTCATCTGAACTCTAGAACCACAGACCAGAGTGCAGTTACGTATTCTCTGAGTTCCAGTTTCTTGACCTGTAAAGGGGATCACCCATAGTACTCCCAGTAGAGTACCTGGCCTGCCTCCACAGTGAGAGCCATTCCCACACTCAAGGCTGCCCTCTCCTCTTTTGTCACCGTGGGAGGGAACTTCACATTACACCAGATCATCTTGCTCTTGCATTCGGACCTCTGCAGTGCAGGGGTTCTCAATGCTGCCTGCACATTTTAATCCCCTAGAGAGGTTTTTTTTTTTTTTTTTGACTTTTTGTGTGTGTGTGTGTGAGGAAGATTAACCCTGAGCTAACATCCGATGCCAATCCTCCTCTTTTTGCTGAGGAAGACGGGCCTTGAGCTAACATCTGTGCCCATCTTCCTCTACTTTATATGGGATGCCACCACAGCATGGCTTGACAAGCAGTGCATCAGTGCGTGCCAGGGATCTGAACCTGAGAACCCCAGGCTGCCTCAGCGGAGGGCATGCTCTAACCCCTGAGGCACCCCGCCCCTGGAGAGGTTTTAAAAAATATCAATGCCGGACCCAACCCGGAACTTCTAGGAGTGAGTCCTTGATGTTGATTGCAAACATCTCCCCAGGAGGTTATGACGCACAGTAAATAAGGGTGGCGAGCCTCCACCTTAGACCACGGATTCCCATACTAGATGCACAGGAGAATCACCTGGGGCGCATTAATGACAATAAAAAGCAAACCCACAGGATGGCCCTTAAGATTCAGTTCCAGTCTATCCCGGGGAGGGGGTCCTCCAGAAATCCGCAGCTCTGGGAAGCTCCTCGGTTTGGGTGCGCTCACTTATAATAAGGAGGAACTGTGCCGCCTGCATCCGCGGACGCAGGCTGAGAGGAGTCCAGGCAGGGCGTGCAGAGCGGGCACTGGGGTCCTCCAAGTCTCAGCGGTCACCTGCTCACTGCCACCGGGGACGCCTCGCGGCAGCGCACCCACCTGCGCGCAACCCTCCTCACCCGGCCCCACCTGTGTGTCCCTCCCGCCCCGCCGGCGCGCACTTGGAGAACAGGGTCTAGGACCCAGTGTGGGTGGCTCGGAGCCCGCGCACTTCCCGCCCCATCCCAGCCGGTCCTCTGCGGCCAGCACGCCTCCCGAAGACCCGCAGACACCCGCCGCGCGAGGGCACCCAACTCGCGCGAGAACTCTCCCGGACCTGCCAGCACCTTCTCCGATGCTAGCGGTGACGGAGAGGAAGTTCCGGAGAGCCGCAGCGCGCAGACGCGACACGCCAGCCTCGCGCCAGCGCGCCGTAAGTGCGCAGGCGCGCCGATCGCTCTCTTCTCTGCTCCTCTCTCCAGACGTCAGGGGCCGTTGGGCTCTATGTCGCGCCGGGCCCTCCGGAGGCTGCGGGGGGAACAGCGCGGCCAGGAGCCCCTCGGGCCCGGCGCCCTGCAGTTTGTCCTCGGTGATGATGATGATGCGGAAGAAGAAGGCCCAAAGCGGGGGCCAGGTGGCCGGCGCCCCCGGGGCTCGGGAAAGGAGGGCGTCCGAGTCAACAACCGGTTCGAGCTGGTGAGAAGTGGGGCTGCCTGGGGTGGGGGGCGGCGGGGGGATGGGGGGCGGTGTGCGAGGCGGGCCTGCCCGGGGCGGGGCCGTTACGTCATGGGGCGGGGCGACACGGGTCTGGGGTGCCCCGGGGAGGGCGGGGCGCGCGGAGTGGGCGGTGGCATGAAGTCATGGGGCAGAGCGAGGCAGTGGGTGGGGTTACGTTGGGTTCGGGCTGCGGTGTGGGGGGCGGGGCCGTACGTCCAGGGGCGGGATGGGGGGGCGTGCCTTCGAGGAGGGCACAGTGGGCGGGGCGGGGTGAGGGGTCCGGGCTGCAGCGGAGTGGGCGTGGTCGTGACGTCGAGGGGGCGCGACCGCAGCGCGGTGGGCGGAGCTTCACTCCCAGCGTCTGAGGGTCGTTTCCCTTGATTTCAGAGCGTTGCGAGGCCTTGGCACACATTCTCGTTTACTCCTCACGAGCCAGAACTTAGTGTCCCCTCAACCAGGTGTGTGGTACAGAGACATAACACGGTAGATGCGAATTGAAGGAATGAATGCCCACTGGGGACTCCATCTGCAATTTTGCATGTGCGTGCCTCGTCTTATTCTCGCCTCTCTGACCTCCCTGTGCAGGCAGGTAACCTGTCTGTTTTGCTCACCTTGTGTCCCCAGCACCATGTACCCAACGCATAGTAGGGACTCAGTGCCTCTGTGCCGAATGGTCGAATGAATAGCAGTAGGTCTGAAGATCGTGGAGAAAGCAGCGACCCTTTGTAAGCCTTCTCTTGGTCTCACAGTTGCTCCCAGCTTTATATGAAGTTGACAGGTGAAGCAGCCCGTCATAAGACGGTGGGGAGTGAGGGCCGCCAGCTTGGGAGTTTGTGTAGAGACTGTTGACTTTCCCTGGTGAGGTAAGAGACAGCCGGCCTCACCTGTGGTCTCTGGTGGAGGTGTCAGTGACGTTCCTTGGAATTTTCCATACTCTCTGCTGTCTCTTCTGATTCTCAGATGGAAAGTAACTCCCTTTCCTCTGTTCTGTTTCTTGTTATTTCTTTCTTTTTAACTTTTTTTAAGGAAAATGTCAAACATATACAAAAATAGAGTATTGTGGGGGATGTGCCCATCACCCAACTCCCACAATTACTGACCCATAGCCAGTCTTGTCTCCCCAATTCTTCCATCACGTGGTTTGTCCTTAGATTTGCCAGTTATTTTTCTTGCCTCTCTCAAAACACCCCAGTCTTCTTTCCCGTCTTCCTTGTTAACAGGCTGAAATCAGTTTGTGCTGAAGTCAGCCATTTTCACGGACTTTTTATTGGGTGGTGCTTTCTCCCTCTTCCCATACCTTCCAGGTTTAGTCTTTAACAGCAGGAAACTGTTGTTTCGAGGACATTTACATGTTCTAGGTACTGCTGCTGTGTCATGTGGTTCTCACAGTCTGAGAAGGAGGTCCTATTGTCCCCATTGTACAAATGAGGTAGTAAGTGACACCTGCAATGTAAATCTAGGCTTTCTGACTTAAAACTTGTACTCTTAGCTATGCCATGATATTTGTCTCTGAGGCAAACTTCAGGTTCCTGCTGAAGAAGAAAGGAGGATAAATGGACAGGGGGGCAGGGTGTTTGAGAGAAATGAAAAAAATGGCAGGTGATTACATATGTGAGTGGAGAAAAAGGATGCTGCTGTGGACCTCCCTGTGACGTCAGTCAGTTCAGAGGGCCCCAAGGGCTGTAGTGCTCAGGGCTTTACCAGTGTGTCCCCTCTGCTCTCCGACGGGATATTGATATTGCCAGCTCAGACATCCTCCCTGCTCTCTGGATTTGTACCTCCAACTCAGCATCTGTCTCCTCTTAGGTGTCTCATAGACGTCTCAAACTCAGTGTGTCCAAACGTTAACTGTCCTTCTGCCTCCCTCAGCCTTCCTTGTCTCTGCTGAAGGCGTCTCCATTCTTCCTGTTGCCAAGGTCAGCAGCCCGGAAGGCATCCCTGATTTTCTTTCTCTCACACGCTACATGCACACTATTGGGAAGGCCTGTGGTGGCTCCAGGTACAGCCCCTTAAGCGTGACCATTGCCTCTGGCCTGGATCATCGCCATCCTCCTACCCTGTCCCACTTCTGCTCCTGTTCCTGCGCAGTCTGTCTGAATGCAGCGGCCACAGTGGTCCCATTAGGCACACATCTGATCTCAGCTCTGATTGCCTCACAACCCCCAGTGGCCCCAGGCTCACCAGTCGGCCCCGTGAGCTCACCCACCTCATGTCTTTCTGATCTTGCTCCCCCTGCTTCA